CACTGTGGTAGAATTGATGCATACATGCTATCGCAGATGCCAGTGAATTGGAGAGTATGCCATCTGGCTGTCGTTGACACTGCAGGCATCCGCAGGCTGACATTAGTCAAATTATTCTTTCAGGTGAGATATCATCCAGATGAACCTCATACTAACACTGCTGTGATGTTGCAAGTACAATATATTTGAGCTCTTGCTCTCCATCCTGATTGTCAGTAGACTAAAGGAAAGTGTGGGAGTGGATGGAAAAGGAGCAGCAGGCGGGAAACACTTGATTTGTGTAGAATTAATTGACGCCTTATTCCACATTTGGTAGTGAAGCTGTATTGATGCTGTGGTCTGTGTCAAGAGTAGAGAGGTAGCAGTCTGTTGGTATATGGTAGGCAATTAACGGGAGATGTAGTTGGATTTCTTCACATACGGAATAGAGGTCACCTGTTTATGACACCGATTTATGAGGAAGACCCCCTTCTAATCGGTCTGCTCCTTCCTTGGGAATGTAGGCACAACTTTGAAAATACAGCTGTGATCATTTAAAATGACACGCCTTCATAATCGAAGGCAGTACATTGAAAGCAGTCGCAACACTCGAGTGGTTTAGGTGAAGAATATATATGTGACTGCATCTTGGCCTAAACATCCTTGATTTGAGCAGATTGATAGGATAAGAACATTCCTATTTTGTCTGGCTTTATAAACACGGCTCAGTGGTGAGGGTCATTCCTGTTCCGATTATAACTCCTCTTCCTCGGGTACGTAATCAAAAATATCACACTTGTATCGGTCAGGGCGATTCTAGCCCTTTCAATCGTAAACAGGGAACAATTATCATCGCAGGTATAGCTTGAACTTCTTTTGCGACATATTATTCAGAATTTCTATAAGACATTAGCAGTCCTCCTTTTCATTCGCAACTTCATTGGGACTTGCTTCTATAGCAAGGAAGCAGGCTGTCTGTCAGTTTGATTGGCAACAAAACGGCGACAATTCAATATGCGTGATGCCATGGTGGGAGCAGCGATAGGTTAGCTGTGTTGCGTTGTCTGCGTCACATGCCTTCGGTGGTCTGCGATGGATGAGGACAGCAAACAGCACTTGTGGTGTCTTGGTTGCCATAGGAAGGACCACTGATGCTATCTCCAGTCCCTCCGAAAACACAATCACCATAGCCAAGTACGAGACGCCATTCATTGGGCCAGGAAATTAGAGGTGAAATTGTGACTAGGGCTCATCCTTCTTCCCTTACTTCACTGGAAAAAGTATATGATGTGTCTTTTTTGCCTGGTGGCAATGCCAACATCGTTCACCCATATCTCCACTATGACCCTCTATATGCGACTATCAACAAGGAATTTTGCTAAATAACTTAATGCGGTACATAGAAAGTTGAGCCGTGTAGTCAGCTAAAAGCAACTGCTACACGTCACACATACAAAAGCGAAGAAATCAAAATTTAGCAGAAGCCGCTGGCACAAGATTCTCCTTTAGTTAAACATTTGCAGCGAGGCGAACCTAACTGTTGTTAAAGATGTGGGTGATTGTGCCTTCTAATAATGCTTGAATCTGCAGAGGCACTACAGAGGGGTAGTTGTGGCCATGTCCGCAGTTGGAGATCACGCGGATTGCGTGTTCGGCATTAAAGAGCTTTAGGATCTTTATACCACAATACTTGTTTACCACTCACAGCTGGAAGAGCCAGAACCGACTGACTTTAAATAAGTGAGGACCTGTTGACATTAGCTGTGTTTCCACGCTTCGTACAAGCATTTAACAAAAGGTGCACAAACAGGTATACAAATACACAAAAGCAATGGAAACAGTGGAATAAGTAGGGTGATTTGATAAGAATATTTCTTTTTCAGTGGCATCATAAATGGACTTCCTTGATGAGAGTCATCCATGTACACAGTGCACATCCTTCTACTTGGGAACTGATGGTATCTGTTCTGTGACAGCTATTTTAGCCACAGATTTGTCCCGCTACTTCTCTAAACATCCACAGTTTCGACGATTGCTTAACGAACGCATATCGGCAGTTGGTGAAAAGAAGCAGACCGAGGCGTCCAACCATGATTTGCTTTTGTCTGTGCTGATGACTGTCAGTGGCCACCCTGCTAGTACCAAATCCTGATGTATGGAGGAGAAAAGTGCCACGTTCGTTGAAGGAACGCTATCAAGTTTTATTCATGTGGGACCTTATTGATGGGATGTCATTCGACTAATTTTATTCTGCAGACCTAGATGCCAATGTATTCTTCGAACAGGACGACTGTGTACGTAAATCACAACAATAATTTAGATTCAGATTTTCATTTTGGGATAGAGTTTGTCTTCCTCTCCGAATAGGTCACGATGTATCGAAAGCTGATCACCAGTTCCCACAAGTGTAAGTCGATTTATTTAAAGCAGCCTGTGCTCCCACCTACGAGGGAAGCAGAAGAAAGGGGACAAAGCAGTAGACGTTTAAATGAAGCAGGAACTTAAGCATTAATGCTTATTAATCGGTGCACAGATGATGATTTTGAGTGCAGCAGGACATGTTTTATTCAAAGATCCCAAAAAGAGTGATGCAACTAAAAATTTTCTTCATTCGCTAGGTCAAGTGCAAGAAAAGTATGCGACAGCTAGCAAAATGTGAAGCAGTCCTTGGCTAAACGTTCGCAGACATGGGCGAGACGGTGTGACCTGTTTGGTGGAAATAGAATCATTACCTCTGGCACTGTCACTGATATAGATTGATGTAAATCAGGTGGCAAATGTTTGGACACGGAATCTTGTGGCTTTTTGCTTGAGGTCTTGACTTTTTCAAGGAGGAGTAGACTTATGCGTGTTTAGTTGGAGAGTTGCATTCAACTGGACAGGACTTGTCCCAGCGTTGGACCACACCACAATAAATGCATCCATCCATTCCCACCGACGCACGTATTCGGCGAATGTACTCTCCGTCATACCTGTAGACAGCGTTTTGAATTAACTGAAACGTGCAAAAGTAAATCTGACTGAGGTGAATTGGTTCAGGACATGTGCAGTGGCCACCACGGCATGAAATGGAGTAGGTTAATTTGTCTTGAAGGTCTCTCTTGGCTTACTAGTTTATTCTGAGTTGGCAGTGATAGCAAAGTGCTGCTTGCTGTTGCTGGCATCACACATATCAACTCTCCGCTGTTTTAATTCCAACCCAATGGATGGGCAGAAAACATCCTTGACACCTTTAAGCAAATCGCATTACAATCAGGAGTGAGAAGATTTCCGACGACTTGCAAAAGGTTTGACTGATATGCCAAGCGGCACTGAATTACTCAGTTCAAAAACAATCACAAAGTCTTGCTCTGTTTAATCACCACTGGTTATGAGGCTACGGAACAAATGCTAGTAAGGATCCCATCATTCACTTCTAAATGTGAACCTAACTATCGGCTCTAAATTAAGCGGTGAATGGTTGGCAAAATTCTCGCAACGATAGATTGTCAGACGGGTGTTCCAAAAAGGCAGATTTGGGCCAAGGACGCACCGTATTACACAGATTTTAGTAAGTATGCTTCAACATTTGTAGATCCATTTGAGAACTGGCTGCAGATACATCGAATCTACTTCTGCAGTGAGTAGCTCGTGGCAGTAAGTCACTTCTTGCACCTGCATTTGTGTTGTCTACAGTTGGTCTACATTCCACTGGATCGAGTAGACTAAATAAATAAGGCATTACCAATTGATAGCATCATAAACGGGACTCGGTGTTGAGGGTCTTTCTTGTTATAAGTACATGGTCATAAATGGCGTGGATTTGGGAAGTTGGCTTTAAAGTGCTAGCTTTAACGCCTGCCTCTACTTCTGCCATTAATAAACCACTTTAAACTCAGACCAGCCTACTCAGAGCGTAGTTTGCACCAACAGGGTGGTTGGAATATCTCTAGATGCCCATTTGGAATAACACTTTACTATCTTAGCATAACACGCCACTGATCAGGTTAGTGGGACACATAATGCAGGGTTATTCCATCGCTACTGAGAAGTGGTGAAAAGAGTGAGTAGGAAGCAGGGAACCTCAATTACTAGCTGAAAGGCCCTTTCACAAATCACTTTTGTTCAGGGATGCCCGATGAACAACCACTTAATTTGAACGCGGAGTTAACGTACCCATTACAGTTGAGTTATTCAGCACTACGAATGCAAGCCCACACAAGATACTAGTTAATTTTCCAACAAAGCAGCCTCAGGCGTTGCCCGGGTTTCCACGCGATGACTATTGCCACGGGCAAGCATACCTAACTTCCTCACATCAGGGACAAGTGCGTTATGCCTTAACATTGGTTAAGCTTTGCGTGTCCCTTTCCTGTTTGCTTCATAACGGTTTCCATTCACTTTTACAAGCTCAAGGCAAGGCCAAGTCACTTCATGGCAATTTTCTCTTTAACTCCATTGGGATCACATTAAAAGTCAATGGCAAGTCTATTTTGAATGCTGCAGAGAGGATTGGCATCGTGTACAGTTCAGCAAAGGGCGTTCAGTGAAGGGGAGAAAGTTGGTAGTAGAACGGGAGACGTCGTTGAAGGTAAACATAGGCGAGGATGCTTGGATAGTGAAATGCATTTTATGTAGAGAATTGACTTGGACGTGATTCCTGGGCCCAGATATCTCGTAACATTGAATTCGTACTTAATTGGGAAAAGGGCACTTGCTTAACTTACAAGGCAATGGCGAAGGAATGCATCGGCGACATTTCAATGCACTATTCGTAACTGTGTCTGTAGCCATGAAAAGCCAAAGTGAACCCTGCGAGCGGCTCGTTTATTATGCGCCAAAGAGGGTGGAGAACTAGGGGTGTCACTTATCAAGCACTCGAATATATTCCCATAAAAGGGAGTTAGGCTAGAAATAACGAACATCACAGAGCATGCGTTAGGCATTAATTAAGCTTGACCAATTGGCAGTCATCCAGATGAATACTACGGTGTGCGGTAATGCCAGAAAGCGAGATGGCAATGCAATACATGTTAGTTTGAATGGGTTGCGTGGGCAAAGGGCGGTCGGTGAAGTCGATTCTCAAGAAGGATCGGAAGTCATCTGTCTCCGAGTGCGAGGTGGGCACAAATTGCCCTCATCACTAAGCCCAGCTTATAATGCTGACCAGTAAGGAATGCTCCATCTGATCAGCTTACTCATTCCAATGAGATGTAGACTAAGTGTAGGCAATGAAGATACATGTGTGAGCACAGACACGCTGTCATTGGCAAAGGCGGTGCACGTGGCGTATATACTACTCTAAGGTAGCCTCAGTGAAGAAATGAAATCGAAGCATCTACAACCAATTTTGAAATTCGTTTGACAAATGGTTGAAACATGGCTGCTGACATTCGAGTAATGCATTGCGTTTACAGCCCTAATCTACTGTTTCAGACAACACCTCTGAGAATCTACCCATTTGGCCGTTATGAATACGCGGTTGCGGAATGCATGAAATTGTTGATTTTATCGTGGAGCTAGTGAACAAAATATGATGCACTACATGAGTCGCAACTAGATTTCACCCGTGACTGGTAGATAACAGCAGAGTTTGCCATGCCTGGTCTTTGGAAGAGTAGAGAGCGACTCTGCAAAGATCACTTTTTTATACACTGCCTACCTGGCTGAGTTCGTCCATGCAGCAGTGAGATGACTGGGATATCCATACTAAATGATGTCACATCTCTCAAAACACAGCAGTCTTTGTGCTTTTTCCACATCACTTTAATGCTTTCAGTTTTTATACACTGACTGTGAAACGTTTAGTATTTGTTGTCCAGTATGCGCATAATATTTTGACAGTCATTTGCTGATGTGAAGACCCCAATGGTTGAGTGACTACGTGTTAAATCTCTGCTGCTGACGTTGACGTGCCCTAATGTTTGCTCGTAAAACGTGTTTATCCGTGATGGTCTCTAGGTGACATTTGCGGTGACCTTATCAAGTCAATTTGTTGTCCTAGCAACTTTTGTGCTTCCAACTCATCCAAGGCAAAAGTTAAAGGTTACCGCTTCAATTTGGCTATGCAGTATAAGGAATATTCTCACATATTTTCTGTGGGAGGCAAAAGTTTTAGGCACCGTAGCAGATGTTAAGATCTGCAGTAATTGTATTGGCAAAATGGAATCGGGATTAGCATTGCGTTAAATAATTATCCAAGTTTGATATTTACAATGGGTTTGGCATTCACTTCCCACAATTCGACCTCCATTCTCCTAGATAAGGACATTCCCAAATGGTCAGCATCATAAACAGACTGCAGTGATGAGGGTTGTTCCTGTCACAAGTGCACGTCTGGCTACTCAGGGATGGATGGCGTCCGTCCCATGACGAGATTCGAGTTCTCTAACTGCCTCTAGCCATAACGGTGAGGCAAGGCAGCGTATATTGCACAGCCATCTCGTCTATCTGGACGCAGTCAAAGACTTTCATCTTTATTCATTGCAGCACTGGATGGGGTGCATGGCCACTGCGATGGCACCATAACTGCGTCTTCAATACTTTCTTCTGACTAAGAAGGTGGTGAATGCTGGATGGCGGCCAGATCGGTCATGCTTCATAATGTTTGTACTTCTTAGTCTATCCTTTTGACAGAAAGCCATAGTCCAGCACTCATTCACTGATTCCTGTATGCATCTACTATCCACGTGCGGGGCAAAAGTAAGCTGTGCTTAGAGGTCATCTAGAATGTTTACGAATACATCTGCACCTTCAAGCAGGAAATTGCAAGTATTGCTGATGCATTCCATCAGTTGTGGATGAGCTGTCATCGCTTCATTATCTTGATGAGTTAGGAAGTGCTATCTGCAAAACTCGGGACTGCTTTAACGTTATAGGTAAAGTTGGCCACAAGAAAAGTGGTTTTAACAATTCCATATAAGTCAGACCTATGCGCATAACAAATTTCATTGCTCACGTTTCCTTGTCTATATTTACATTTAACGACATCTGTCCACCTCCAGTAAGTCTGCTTAACGTACTCTGCCCAAAAGTGACTCGATACCTGTTATTTAATTTAGACTTGACATTGGCCTAAGGTTAGGTGCTGATGTAGCCACGCCAGAGTCTAGAAGATAGGAGCACTGACGGGCTGAGAATTTTCCTCGAGCTCAAAAGAACGAGTAACAGCCGTTAGGAAGAAATCAGGGGAGACAAGGATTGAAGTTTGGCTGCTTGTTGCAAATCGTGACGGTTCTTCGTTGAAAACTTGATTAGCAAGCTGTAGGATGTGGTATTTCTTCCATCGAGCATCATAAATATAATGGGTGGGCGAACTCCGTGACTAAACTAGACGTTTACACATCGGGCTTGCCTGATCAGAGGCGATTAGTGGAAGAATTATTTTGTGTGTAGAAATATCTCTACCACTACCATGGGCCCAAAATATTTCCCGAGTGAGAGCTCTTACAAGCCAAGTGGATCTTTAAAGGTGTAAGTGCAAATGGGGGTTAAAGCTAGCTTTTGAAAGCCACCTTTTTACTTAACGTCGTCCATAAAAAGGCGATATCAGCGAAGCTGTCCATTGTGTAATGGCTTCAGCAGCTATTTCTGCATCACAGCCTTCGTTCCCCTGATTCAAGCAGACCGAATGGATGGGGATCTTACTTATTGGTTGTTAACGCAAATAGGCCTCAGTGATGAGAGTCCATTGCTTTCTGAGTACACGTGCCACGTAGTACAGCTCTTTGGAATTCTAAACCTCTCTCTATTCACCAATCATTTTAACTTGAATACATGAGTGAACATGAACCCTGCCATTTTTACTTTCCATTCAAACTGGGATAAAGGTTAACCTGTAGGCAAATGTGTATCTAGGTCTGGATGTATTCAGACAACATCTTTTAACGAAATAAGGAAACTCATTAACAAAGAGAGCACTTTACTTGTTCTACTTTAAGCAATTTCGGTTATATCAATTTTGATTAGAGAATTAGAATTGTGATCAAAATATCCTATGCTGCTCGATTATTTATCAGAAAATCAGAGTGCCTACGAGAAGCTGAATTGATCTCATCAAATGTTGCGTTTCGGCACAGACAAGGACTACTGTATACTAATAAGTAGACTGTACTGCGGAACATGCCCTTCAAAGTTGTTCTTTATCAATGAACGCATTACGACTGCCACCAGTCTGCTAGCTGTCCTTCACAGCACACTATAAAACAATGCAGGACGGATCATCTTTTATATCGAAGTAGACAGTTAGAAGCACCCAATTAACCCAACTAATGGGCTATAGAAAAAAAAACACTAAAAAAAGCGTTCCACGCCTCCTACGCTGTCTAGTTACTTTTCCATGAGCAAGGCTCTCCCTATATTCTTAACATCCAAAATTGTTTATGCGCATAAATCTTCCACGAACAATTTACTAAAGAAGAATCCTAACGACTGAGTCAATGATCTCCCAATGGAAAATGCTGCATGTGGATATGCCCTGACCTATATTCGAACAACTGTCATTCGTCTTGGCGCATGTGGAATGCCTCTAATGGCCGCTACACTTCATAAATTAAATCATAGCCATTGCTTGCACCTCAATGGATACTGCAAGTCGCAGTCTTAAATTTACATCCACTTTCTTCTTTTCCTTCTCTGGCATAGGGCATACGAATATAAACCAGCCATGGAAGAGGCACCTGTTGCACTGATGGTCATGTGAGGCTTGATTGGATGCCAGTTATTGTTTCCAGCATAGTCACTCGTCATGAACAGTTGCATCGAAAACTTCGTAGTTAATTAATTAACAACTGTCCCACATCATCATGGGTGGCTGTTTGTCTTCGCATGCTTGAGATGCCTGATAATTCCGATGCTCGTCAGCGCAATTAATCGTATTGCCTGACTGCACAGTCACTGCAACTGCGTGGCAGGTATGAATGATCACGGTGGTGGAATCGGTGTATACACGACAGCTCTAATGTCGCAACTGGATGTTGTGTCATCTGAATTGTGGAGGCGGAGTCTGCATTCATTGGTCGGCAATGATGGTGAGTTCATTTCATTTTGAAGAGGAGAAATCTGCATCACTTCTGCCATCCTGCTTGTTTTCGGGAGATTAAGCGTAACCCTCACAGAAGATTCGTGTGACTGAGTTAAATCGGTCTGTTCGGAAGACACAATATGCTGACACAATTTTCGCATTTAAGCCTGTCTGTAATTGCCATCCAATGGATCTTCTCCATGAATCAAAAGGAAGGCTCGGGTGTTCTAAGACGGAGGAAGATCTAGTTTGCAGGTAAACTACGCAATTTGAGGTGCACAATCCTCCATGGTAGTTAATTTGAGAAGCTGGCTTCAATTCCAATGTGGTTTGGTTGTCCCTTCGTACAAACGAGTAACAAGTTTGCCCTCCAGTACACAACCTGTCAACAAATGTCTTGATGTAGATGAAAAGAAGTGAAGGTACTCGTGCTAATGAATGCATGCATTGCTTGTGTTAAAGGAGAGAAGCGAGAACCAGTGTGGGTGCTTCATTAGCAAATAAAACAACGTAACTTCATGACGGTTGACGGATCGTTCAAACACATTGTTTGCCATTTCATTTGATCGACAACTCATTAAAAGCACAAGCAATGCCAAGGGTTTCACATGAGGACATAGTACCAGAATTTCACCACTGACGCTAGAACCCATGTCTTTAATGTTAGCGTCATAGTGACACGCCAAACGTCTTCAAACCATGGAAAGCAGACATAATTTTCGCTTTAAACGTGGCTGCATATGGCACCCAGCTGATCTTGGTGATGAAATTACGAAAAGAATTTAGGTAGAAGACAACAATTAAAGCCTTATTTTCCTCACAAAACTGCTCAAGCTACGTCGCCACTTTGTCTGGCATGCTGCATTAAATTCAAGTGTCTTTTAGTTGTCCCTGTCTAATGAGTGTGTAAGAAGCTTGAACTCCGGTTAACACACAGTTAACAAATTCGCATCTGTGGGTGAAATCATGCACTCCCTAATGGTGCAATTACACATTGTGCTGCAAGAGAAAAGCGAAAAAGTGGTGTGGGTGTTGCACATTCTGAGAAAAACAATGTAAGCTTGTAGTAGCTGACGGATCATTCAAACGCGTTGTTTGCCATTTCATATGATTGACAATTCGTGAATGGCACAAACAATGCTCCTCGCGTGATTTCATTGCTCCTGTTAGTGCAACCATCCTATTTCCCATACACACTAAACTCTCCAACATGTAAGCTGCAATCATTTATAAATTCCACACATGCACTTTGTTAAGATCGTATGGTCACCCAACAAGTTCTTCATAGATGGCCTCGAATTGGCGCATTTCATTTCTTTCTATATATGAACAAGTGAATGAACTGCAGTGTGGTGAAATGGAATTGGCATCACCCCTGTGGAGAGCTAAATAAGCATTTCAGCCTCCGTGGCTCAGTCATCACTACATCCTTCAGCCAGTCGGCTCCCAAATGCCCTGCTATAATCAAACCGCAGAAAGGGGTTGCCTTATGCTTGCGCCGATTCAAGCCAAGAAGTAGATCAAAACAAGTGGCTACAAACTTGATCAGTTTAGTGTATTTCCTTGCTTTGACGCCCAATGATATGTTTTCTTGAAGCATTGGTAGCATGATGCACAAAGTCGACGCAGTTTGTGTTATTTTACATTGAGGTCAAGTTAGGAAGTGTTAATTTCTTATTTCTCCCTAAATGGAATGTAGGTGATCGTGCAAAGCTTCAAAATTTTTCAACTTTTAACTCGTTTAGTCAAAGTTCATCACTATCCCAAACCCAGATTCAGTTGAATGCAAATTCTGGGATATTCAGTCTTGTGCACACTAGAGGAAATATTTCATTGTAGATGAAATGTCTGATCACGAAGTCAGTTTAGTGTTGTTTTTCAAGGGGCGCACACTACGGCAGCTTTGGTTGGGGCGGCAGGGTTGGACGAAGAGCAGTGTTGTTGTCAAGTGGTGGTATATCCGGTCCGACTGCAAAATTGTTGGAGTCGTCCTGCGGCCCAGTGCTGCCTTTAAGAAAATGTTTAGGTAAATACATAAATGTCTAGCTAATGTAAGTTGATATCAGTTACTGTTTAGTCGGTAGGTCGAGGTGGTAGGTTACAGCAGTGCTCTTTGATCTCCATTTGCTTGACCTAAGGAGGCTTGCATTTCCTTATCATAATAGATAGAGACGCTCTTCATGCCTTTATAACCGCCCTAGCCCACAAAGAATTATTCGCGTGGGAGTCATTTTTGCCTTCCACCTGCTTCTGGAATGGCGTGTGGGCCGAAGGTCAAAGTAGTTAACAAGCGAATGTGTAGATCGTTCCAGTGTGCCCAAATATGTTGTTAAAATGTGGTCCTCATCTACACCAATTAAGCCGTTGGATGCATTCACACTGGCAATGGTGATGATTAATTAAGGTGCCACACAGTTGATTGAAGAAGAGAGTCTAGGAAAAGAGGTTGAGTATGCGAGTTTTGCACTAGGAACTGCATTCTAAATAAAGTACTGCATCGAATCATGTTGAGTAGCATCAGCAGTAAGTCGGGAGTGTGGAAAATGCAGTGGGTAATATTGGTGAAATGCAAAAGTGACGTACCTGGAACACGTTGTGGCCTAACCAATATTCAAGGCCTACTTAGTGTGTAACAATGCAGTCAAATTCATAATACACAGACAACAGTTTGAATGCAGGTATGAAAGTCATTTGTGGTGCATAAATTAGATTCGAATTGCTTGGAAATTTAAAGACACAACATACGCATAAGGCAGATGATGAACTGCAGAGGAAGAGAAGCACAAGTTTGCTAACGCTTTTTAAAACAATTCACTTTTGTGTCAACCCAGTGAAATGCACAGATATGAATGAAATAATCACCACTCACTGTAGTAAATGTTCCTGCTACAAGAGGAAAAGAAGCAGAGACACTGAAGCAGTGCAGATCAGGTAATTACAGTCAAAGCAGCTTCTACTCTACTAGAGTAAACATGGCATTTCAGATGCAACAAAGAAAGCTGAATTGAGAGAAAGAAATTGCTCACGGAGGCGGGTAGTAACCATACCCATACAGTGGTCGGCAATCTGAAGAAATGTACGGTAAGTTGGTGAATCGTGGGCAAGTTTTCAATTCAAAATAATTAGTCAATTGCCTGATCTTAATAAGGATAGCACAAGGCACCTCGCCAAAACATAGTACTATATAGGAAGAACGGCGAATGAGTGAGTAGGAGAAGCGACATCAAGGAAGGCAGCAAACGAGTACTCACACATGTTTCAGGTGATCGCGCGCGTAAATGAAAAGGCGATCTTGTATTCCAACTCACAGACCGCAGACCAGTGACTAATGATTGGCTAATTTCCACCAAGTGTGCACCAAACCATGTAATGATCCTGTGCTTTAATCATCCTCTCAATGTGAGGCTGTGAACGCGAGCAGGAATTGGCCTGATTTAGTTGACAATGCCTGCTATGCAGTGATGCTTGCTACGCCAGTCTGACCATGACTGGGCCCCATTTACGATGATAATGTTTAAAACCGAAAACCCACTGCTATTTAGCAATATGCAAGTGCGCTGAAATAAATGCTGAGGATTTCGCATTTTGACATGTTGACGAATTTTGCCACTGATGCTGCCGCCAATGTCTTTAATGTTAATACTTGAACCGTGATTAGATAAACACATCTGTGGGAAAGAGGGCTCATAAATGTAGTACCTAGGGACGTACGTCTTGTGCACCAAATGATGTCCAGTCCACAGAAGCCAAATGGCTGGCGTAAATAAAATAAATATGCACCTTCTTCTCTTACTGTGCTCCTTCACTGGTGCTCCTCTTGGCAACGCTTATTCTTTCGGCCATCAAACACAATCGTGTGTTTTGTAATCACCTGCCAACACACCTCGAAGATAGTAATGGTGCCTAAATACCGAAACATGATAGCTGATTTCGTAAACAGTGTTGAAATATTAACAGAGGAACTCGCGGATCCAGACGTGTGTTTGAATTCCCAAGTTTCGCTCCCATTAGGACAGCTTTAAATCAAGTCACGCGCTGACCACTCGTGTCTTAAGCTAGATGAAAGGTGAATCTCCGCACATTCGTAATTACAGGTAAGGCGTCACGACAAGGATGTTGCATGGAGGAGTGACACTTGCAGCCTCAAATGCCCATTTGCATGGGAAGCTAGAAGCATTTGTTATCAATGAGTACTGTGTTAAGCAGATGTTGTGTTTTTAGGCACAATAAATAATTGAATGACAAAACACTGCATTTCAGCGACATTTATTCTCATCTGGAATTGTTTGCAATATTAACTACAAAATTATGGTTAGTCATATTCGTCATATTCTACTTGGGTTCTTCCAACCTGTTTAATGGGCAAATTGTAGCAGGAGTAGCTACGAGGAATCGCAGTGTGCTTTAGACCTTTAGTGGCATTCAACGAAGGAGGGCAGAATTCATCATTAATGTTAGGGGATGAGCTGCGCAGTTAATCGGACGTTGTTAAATGTACGAATTGTCATTCTGATGGCCAGAATGCTTGGGTTGTAGAGCCACATACGCCATGTGAGTCTGCTCTTGCCGTTTGTGTAGGTGTGAGCAGTCATAACACTGTAGAATCGCACACACTGTTTGGTAATTTTGAGCAGCTGTGCAAGAAAAACCCATGACGATGACACAAATTTGCCAACATGTCTCTCCATAACCGTTTAGACTGAGATGCACTGGAAATCTCCTTCGCCTTCTAGCGCAAATGCAACCGTCTCCCAATAGCCTTTGCCGACGAATCAGATGGAAAATCTAGGCGCTGGAAGGCAAGTGAAACTCTCCATCATTACCACACTAGGTGATGCCAGTCGCCTTTTTCGTATTTTATAATCAATCTGATTGGACGACTTCACTTTCAATGCTGAGCCGACTCCCACTGGTAGAAGTGTGTAAAAACCTCCTCCCAGTAAACACTTGGTCAACGAACTCGCAGATGTAGATAATTGACGTTCCTCATAATGACGCATTCATGCATCACTTGTGCCACAAGGGAAGAGCGTGATACCGGTGTGGGTGGTTCATATCCAAAAAAACAAAGGAGACTGGTAATAAATTACGGAGCATTAAAACTCGTTGTCTGTCATTTCGTCTGATTGACAATTCGAGAAATGCACAAACAATGCCATTTCCGTGAGTTACCGTTTCTGTGGGTATATTGTTGCTGATTCCTGATTCCACTGCACTGCTCAATGCGCTAATTCCATTTCCTGTGAAAGCACTCGCTTTGGGCCTATTTCCATATTTAAAATACCACATCTCCCTAGCATACACACCTTGCTAAATATAGTATGGTTATGCCACAATATCTTGCCAAGAGCCCTCGAATGCGCTCACTTCACCTTTTCCGCCTTCATGGTTCGGTCGCCAATTCAGTCCTTAGTAGGTCAGCTCTTAGCTGCTCCACAAATAAATAAACCTCAATCCAGAATTGCCTTGCTAGTCCGTGGATGCAAATTTGACTAAGATTTGAATGGCAGTAGTGCTGCGTGAGGCCACCCAATTCAAGTTAAAGCATGTTTATACACCCAAATTGCATGTCAATGTGTTCGAAGTGGCAGTTTTATCAACCATAACGCCACTAGTCGTCAGCTCCTCCTACTCTTCCCACACGCGACCAGGATGCTTTTCAACATGTCACAGGTAGACTGTGAGTTGTCTATGATTCAACTACAAATGAGAGGACTCAAGGTGTCTCCAATCAAGTCCCTCTTATTCCTTCCATCCATAACTTGTGGCATTATGTTTGACTCGTCAACTTGTCGATTTGCAGCTCTATCACATGCCGCATGAATACACAAAATTTATGTCCATATGCATTAACACAAATCGTGTTGTGTGAAGGAGAAGCTAGTAACGAAGCCGAAAGGAAGATTAAGCCTCTACGTGGTGCAATACTATTTGTTTAATTGCATATTAATTCACGCCAATCATTTGGTCTGTACCGATTCACATCGTTTCGAGTACGTGACATGTGTCTCGTTGATGTCTTTGCACGCACGTTTGCACAGTCCTTCTGTAGCACGTTGGTAATCATTCCTGGCTTTCGGCGTGTTACACGTTAGGAGGTGAAATTTTCAGCATCAGTACTGCTATTAAATGAGCTCAGTCAAGATCCGACTGCGGTAGCCAGCATCACTACACAATGGACTTCATGGTGCCTGGACCACAGTGAAGATCTCCGGTGTCATGGCAATACGGCAGATCCGTCATGTTGGCTAAAAAAAAGGTTAGAGTCCATCATAGCTACGCTTATTTTGTTAACTGGTGGAGCTCAATTGTCAATCGCTTTTATGAGTTTACGTAGTGAAGGTTGATTGAAACACGGTTGTGATGCACGCTTTGGTACATCCAAGGTTGCAATGAGCCAATCATCAGACACTGGTCCACAGTCTGTGGGTTGCCATCCACGATTTTCTTATTCACTTTCTCATACCATCACCTGAGACATGTGTGAGTACTCCCTTGCTTCCTTTGCCAATGCTCTTCCTTTTGCTCACTCCTTTGCAACACTTTTGCATTAGTCAACTGCTTGAGGCAGGGTGAAACACTCCATTTGTTACTGCAACTTGCATATGAGTTGGTACATTGTGCTACCACTCCTGAGTTCATTTGACGAGGTGATTATTTTGAGTGGGAAACATGCATCTTAGCCTGTACAAATGCAAATACTTATACATTCGTCAACTAACCGAGCGTTATTTTTAGATTGTTGGCCTCGTTACAGATATGGTTACTACCCGCCTCCGTAAGCAATTTGTTTCTCACAGTTTAAATTTTCTCCCTTTTTTATCGAAAATGTCATGATTGTTCTAAGAAAGCAAAAAGTGATTTAGGAGTTTTATCTGATTGGCACTGACTCAACATCTCATTACTTCTTTGTCGCCTATAGTCCCTACGCTTACCAGAGTGAGTGACGCCGACTTCGTATTACCCATGTCGCGCCATCAGCTCCTTCACCATTCACACTCACTCTCACCATCTTTTACCCTCTCGTTTGCAACGCTATTTACCACATTGAAGTAGTTGATGCAAGGTGAAACAGTCCATTCGTTACCTCCGCTTGCACTCGAGTCAGCACATTGTGCTACCATTCTCAGGCATAAATGATGAGTAAATTATTTTAAGTAGGAGACCTGTATCTTGGGCCTGACAGCTACGAAGTTTGCATGCAATCCATGAACTGAAGGGGCTTTGATTTTAGGTTGGTGGCCAGGATCCGGAAATGGTTTCTACCTGCCTCCGTAGGTGATTTATTTCTGCGAAATTCTACTTCATCCTTCCACTATAAAAATTGCGTTTGTGATTTGAAAAATTATACCTGGTAGGGGCTGTCTTAGCATCTCATGGCTTCTTTGCCCCCTTTAGCTCAAACATTTACCACAGTGAGTTACGTGATCGTCACACCATCAGACCCTTCACTAAGCACCATAATCGAAAATCGTGTTGTTCGTTGTAGTTTACTACACACCCTATGGGTTAGTGATTTGCCTAACCTAACTGACAAATGCCCGTTTAAATGTCTGGCATTGAGTTCGGCATTAAACAAATAACACAAATTTTCATAATAATGCCTTTGCAAGCATTTGTGTTTATGGAAGCATTAAGTCGCGTTTGTATTTGTAAAATGAGGACATGTTTACACTTACTAGACAAAACAATCCATTTCCAGGTAAGTCATGTCAAGTTTCCACTCAATTTCCTGCTATTTTGTTGCATCCTTAATGTGTTGATGGTTGTTATTAGCATTCTCTGAGAAATCTGTTCTAAGTTTGTACAAATCTGCTACCAAGCGTCTTCTTATTCGGAAAATTTGCACCTAAAAATTGACACTAATATAATACAAAATATTGGTCTTAGTTCAGTAGCTTTCACACCTTCCCTCTTTGCTTCAACTTTTCTCGCTCAAGTTACATTTGCAGGAATTATTTAACAGCCGTTAAGGATGGGTGCGAGTGAGTCTTGTTGGCAAAGATAGCGAAGATAAAGGCCACATTCTGATTACGTTTCTGGAGGCAGGAAGCGATAGCACATTCGTGAAATTCGTCAACTTCTTTGACTCTGGGCCCACTAAAATAGTAGACAGGATTCTAGTCCTCTTTAGTTCGCTTGGTGATCAGGATACAAATCATCTCTTCTTGCCGTTCAAGTACCCCTACTCACCTCAACCGAACAGATCTACTGTGTGTGTTACACCTGGTTTCTCAAAGTATGCAGGAAGTGAATAGTGCACAAGTTTGTTACCTGAAAAGAGGAGAGGATTACAAATTTATAAAATGCACACTAAGCAAAATATATTAAGCCTCTATGGATAACAATTTCGACATTGTCGGCCAATGAATGTAGACTCCGTCTCTACGACTGGGACAACAGACACCCAAATACTTGCATTTACGCCATCATGCATTCATCAAGTCCACGATGGTGACACATTATATCAGCTATGCAGCTGAAATGACGGTGTGCTGAAGCCACTCCAACTGTTATGCTGAAGTGAATTGGAACCATTAAGCATAGCTCGCCTTAGAAGGAAAGTAGCCATTGATGAGGTGAGAGAGAAGGGTCAGGGATTTTTCTACAAAATTGGTTGATTCCAATTCTGCCTGGACACTCAAGCCTCACGTCAACATCTGTTGATGGGTTGTGCCTTCCATTGATAATAAAATCGGTGATTTGCCCAGTGCCGTGCATTTGATTATGATAAATAACCTGACTCCTATCGAACTTGCATTGTGATGGGATAAAGTCTACTGGACGTGCTGCCGTAATTGTGATCTTGTCTTTATTGCCTCAGTGCACACTTCCCGTCTGTGTTGTTTGAAGCACATTCAGCTGTCGCCTCAGCGTGCATCAATGTCACTGTGGTAGAATTGATGCATACATGCTATCGCAGATGCCAGTGAATTGGAGAGTATGCCATCTGGCTGTCGTTGACACTGCAGGCATCCGCAGGCTGACATTAGTCAAATTATTCTTTCAGGTGAGATATCATCCAGATGAACCTCATACTAACACTGCTGTGATGTTGCAAGTACAATATATTTGAGCTCTTGCTCTCCATCCTGATTGTCAGTAGACTAAAGGAAAGTGTGGGAGTGGATGGAAAAGGAGCAGCAGGCGGGAAACACTTGATTTGTGTAGAATTAATTGACGCCTTATTCCACATTTGGTAGTGAAGCTGTATTGATGCTGTGGTCTGTGTCAAGAGTAGAGAGGTAGCAGTCTGTTGGTATATGGTAGGCAATTAACGGGAGATGTAGTTGGATTTCTTCACATACGGAATAGAGGTCACCTGTTTATGACACCGATTTATGAGGAAGACCCCCTTCTAATCGGTCTGCTCCTTCCTTGGGAATGTAGGCACAACTTTGAAAATACAGCTGTGATCATTTAAAATGACACGCCTTCATAATCGAAGGCAGTACATTGAAAGCAGTCGCAACACTCGAGTGGTTTAGGTGAAGAATATATATGTGACTGCATCTTGGCCTAAACATCCTTGATTTGAGCAGATTGATAGGATAAGAACATTCCTATTTTGTCTGGCTTTATAAACACGGCTCAGTGGTGAGGGTCATTCCTGTTCCGATTATAACTCCTCTTCCTCGGGTACGTAATCAAAAATATCACACTTGTATCGGTCAGGGCGATTCTAGCCCTTTCAATCGTAAACAGGGAACAATTATCATCGCAGGTATAGCTTGAACTTCTTTTGCGACATATTATTCAGAATTTCTATAAGACATTAGCAGTCCTCCTTTTCATTCGCAACTTCATTGGGACTTGCTTCTATAGCAAGGAAGCAGGCTGTCTGTCAGTTTGATTGGCAACAAAACGGCGACAATTCAATATGCGTGATGCCATGGTGGGAGCAGCGATAGGTTAGCTGTGTTGCGTTGTCTGCGTCACATGCCTTCGGTGGTCTGCGATGGATGAGGACAGCAAACAGCACTTGTGGTGTCTTGGTTGCCATAGGAAGGACCACTGATGCTATCTCCAGTCCCTCCGAAAACACAATCACCATAGCCAAGTACGAGACGCCATTCATTGGGCCAGGAAATTAGAGGTGAAATTGTGACTAGGGCTCATCCTTCTTCCCTTACTTCACTGGAAAAAGTATATGATGTGTCTTTTTTGCCTGGTGGCAATGCCAACATCGTTCACCCATATCTCCACTATGACCCTCTATATGCGACTATCAACAAGGAATTTTGCTAAATAACTTAATGCGGTACATAGAAAGTTGAGCCGTGTAGTCA